TAACAAATGTTGGCGGGGTTGTGGGGAGAAAGGAACCCTTCTCCATTGTTGGTGAGAGTGCAGACTAGTGCAACCACTATGGAAATCAATATGGAGATACCTCAAAGAGCTTGGACTGGAGGTTCCATTTGACCCAGCCATCCCTCTGCTGGGTATCTTTCCAAGAGAGCTAAAAGAATCATATCACAGAGAAGTATGTACACCCATGTTTATAGCAGCACAGTTTGTAATAGCTAAATCTTGGAAACAGCCTATTTGCCCATCCGTTGGAGGATAAAGAAGATGTGGTTTTTCTACAAAATGGAATATTACTCAGCCATAAAGAACGAGAAAATAGATTCATTCATAGGAAAATGGATACATATTGAAGATATACTCCTAAGTGAAATAAATAAGTCACACATGTGTAAATACCGAATAGTTTCCCTGGTGCAAATAATCTGCAACAATGCATAAGATTCTAATAAGATTACTGATATTTAGAAATGGGAAGAAAGGAGCTAAAGGTGTAGGGAAGGTGGGATGGGTAGGGGAAGAGTAAAAAGGGAAAAGAAAAAAATGTGAGAGAATGAAAAGATGAAAATAAAGTGTTTGTAGATGGGGAGGGGAGGAGGGGGTGAAGGGAGGGCAGAGGTAAGGGGAAAAAATGAGAATCAAGACTTATCATGTAGAGGTACAAGATCCCAACAATGAATGCAACTGTACTGTATCCCTAAAATGTACCAATAAACTCAATTAAAGCTGAAAAAAAAAAGGCTTTGAGATCATAAAATGCTTTCTCAATGACAAAAATTTTTGAATTATGTTGAACTGGATCAGTGTTGAATTATATTTTTCTCCAAACTTTCAGTAGGAGAATGTTTGTATATACTGAAATACTATCATGGATACCACTGTAATGCTTTACATCAAATAAGTGCCGATATTTGCCATATATGCTTTCTCTCTCTTTCCTCATACAAGTGCACACAAAGAGACACACATTTTTTCATTGTTTAATCGTCTGAAAGGAAATTTCAAAAAAAGAGAAAGTTAATTGCAAATATTTTAACTCTAGTTGATATATATAATGTATTCTTTGACTCTAATTCTCTGAAATGTAGTTACCTATATATAAACTATATTATGTTATATTCATAGAATATATGCTAATAAAATTATTTTCTTGTCACAATGATATTTTATTAAGCAAAATACTCACTTGCCTAAATATAACAATTTATTTCACATTTAGTATCAGTACCTCCATCCTGTACATGACTAACAATGGCACACAGATTTCTCCATAAGAACTAGTGCTTTAGTCTGTATTCCTATGGAGAAGATAGAGCATTTGTTTATCACACAGGCATTTGAATGCCAAAGAAATTCTCAATGATGATGAAAGTCTTTCTTTATAGAAAAGTAAGTCTTTCATTGCTAGTATAAATTAATTCCTTCCTAAAAATTAAGTTGAAAGAAAGGAATTTAACTTTGCCACAATGGAAATTTGGCTAAATTCCCATAAAAAAGTTTAAACAGATCTTGAGAAAGGCAATTAATGCTATCAAACACGTAACTGCAAAATAAATAAACTTTTCTTGGACCTAAACATGTTTATATATCAATAAGCAGCCATACATTGAATGAGTTTCTTTGTATTTATTAAATTTCTTGAATGTAATATCTTTTATTAATCTTAGATAAAGTACTGAATGGAATATTTTGAAATTCACAAAGATTTTCTGTGATAGTATTATGGGTAGAATTTTGTCTTGGTGAGAAGATATATCACTCTAATGCCCAGTACTTTATTTCAAAATTGTATTATTACACATGTAACTAGTTAAGTTAGTATGAGGTCGTGGTGGACTAGAGTGGGCCCCTAATCCAACAGTACTGGTGCTCTTTTAACAGAGAGTAAAATTTGAGCACAGACATTCACAAAGGAGATGATATAAAGAAGCACAGAGAAAATGGTCATGTGACGATGGAGAATTATGATGCTGATCTGCAAGGCAAGGAATGCCAACACCTACTGACGCACGAGAAGCACGATGAGAGGCATGGAATATGGAACAGATTTTCCCTCGGGGCCCCCGGTAGGAACTATCCCTGTCAGCACTTGGCTTCAAGACTCCTAGGTTCCAGAAATGTGAAAATGTAAATTTATGTTGTTTTAAGCCATAAGTTTATAGTGGTTTACTGTGTTACCCTAGGAAACTAACACAGAGAGAGGATACATATATCTGTGCCTGTGTGCATGCAAATACATACATACGTAGAGGTAGGTAGGCTACCTTAAGATTCAGGCCTTTTAAATTAGGTTTAATCATAAAATGAGGACCTGAAGAATTATCCAGTAGAGCAGTGCAGTAGTTTCATCATTTGTTACATTTTGGACCTAAAATGTGCCCTCTCAAAAGCTCATCTATTCAGAGCATGAGCTTTTTGAAGGTAAGGGATCGTGAGAGCTTCAGTTTCATTAATGTGGTCCTAATTTGATGGCATTATTGGGAGGTGACGGAAAAAAGGTGGGCCTTGGATGGAGTGGATCACAGAAGCATGACAATGAAGACTATATCTGTTCCCCACCCCTTCCTCTCTAGATCTTTCCCTCTCTTTTAACTTTCTGGATACCAGTCAGGTGAGCAGCTTCCCTCTGGTATTCCCTTCTGCTATGATGCTTCTGCCTCATCACACACCTAAAAAGAAACAGAACCAGGTGACCATGAACTGAAACCATGAGTCAAAATAAGCCTTTCCTTTCGTAAGCTGTTTCTCTCATTATCCAGTCACAGCAGCAAAAAAACGACCAAACTAGGGTTGTTAACTGAACTACATAAAATTTCCATTTTTAGATAAAAAAATAGTTTAACAGAGGCAATTTTATGTGGTTCCACTGGATAGGTTCCAGAAATAATTCAAACTTCTTGAAATCCCCTTTTATCTTCAGGAGCAAACCCTTTGGTAAATTGTCTAAGACACCGTTTCTCCCGGGTCACTCTCCTTCTATAAATACAGTCTGAGCATCCCTCATTCCTTCTAGATAAGGAAGTTTTAGTCTCCACAACCTATGTGAAATTCAACCCTGGAGGCAAATACTTTTTGAGGCTTTGCATGCTATTGCTCTCACTTACACACATCTGTGCATGGTTTAATACTTGAAGACAACACTGGGGATTCCGTCTAATTCACAATCCAAGATGAGGTTCCTCCAGGGGATTTTCTCTCATTCCATTTGGCACAGCAGTAACTGTGTTTGACGACATCTGCCTCACAGCTCCATCTGACACTTGGTTCCCAGCCACACTCTCTTCCTGCACGTCTTCTGAGGAAGATGTTCTCCAGCAGAGATGAAGAAGAGAGGAACGTGGGTGGAACCAAAGCTGTATTTTCCCAAAGACTATAAGCCAAGGACCCTACCAAATACCTTCACCTACCTCATAGTCTGAACATTTTTGATATAAATCAATATTCTCTAAACAAGCCTTTCGACCCAGGGATTCTGGAGCATTCATCAGTAATTTCTGAATGCTTTTTCCCTAGACTATCACATTTCAATGTTCCTCCAGTTGTGAAAAAGAAGAGGCGTACAAATTACACCCGTAATGTTTTTAACCAACAAGAAAAGATAAACCAAGTCCAAAATTATCTTGTGTGAGATCACTGCTTAAGCATGCCAATTTATTTTCATTAAAAGTAGATATTTAATAGGAAATTTTATTCAATAATTTTTAATAATATTTTCTTATATAAATCATTTGTATAGTCTATTTCATGTTTAACACGTGAAAAGAAAATTAAAAGATTTCTGTAAAAAAAAGAAGTAGATTTAAGGGGAAATGCTAAATTTTACCCAAAAATACTATATTCACCTACATCTTGGAATAAATTAAACAACTGCTTACACTAAACAGAAAATTTGGAATATAAAGCTTGTTACTAGCAATTGCCACTTAAATTATTACCTATTTCTATTAAACTGTCTTTGGTATTTTGCCATGCCTTTAAATTCCAACAGATTGTTTCAAAATGTCATTCTATTTCTACTTGACTGAAAATCCTGTGCCATTATGCTCTTAATTATATGAAGTTCTATATTTTCCCTGTGCTAGACAATACATAAACAGGTGGTGGTATTAAACTGCCATCAGGGAAACAACTCCCTTGGCTTAAAAAAGGAAGGTATCATTTGATTTCATACTGTATCATATTTCTCTTTTCATCACACTTTACAACTGGGATTTCATATCTATCTATCTATCTATCTAATTTGTTCACATAAAATTTGAAAAAGGATGAATGTGCTATGAAAATGTACCTTGTCTTTTTTTAAATTTTATGAGCAGATACTACCTATGGACAGAAAGTGCCAGGAAGGCATTAAAATGACAAAATACTCTCCAGGAGCAGATAGTGCTACCCAGGTACTGGCATATATCTGCCATATTTCTTACTCACTGGAGAAGAGTCTAACACTTTTGTCTTTTCCAGCTCACCTATGAGTTTAGGGCAAAAGAAGTAAACCCAAAACAAAATCCTTCCTGTCCCAGTACAAACTTCTAGATGAAGAATTTCTGTTCCAGAAATAATAGCATTGTCCAGTTGTACTTGACTGACGTTGACCCAAACATAGAAAAATCTACAAGCTGACAAATACAGATATTTGTGTTCATTTCATTTGTGTTCACTTTGTGTTCATTTCTATAAAACTGCAAGGTTGTCTAGCAAATTAAAGTGTTACATAAACATGGCTGATACACAAAGCAAGCTTTACCCCCAGCTCTAATGTTTCTCCTTTCCACACTTCTTCTCACAAACCACATCCAACTTAAGATCCCATAGCTTTCAAAGTAACATCAGACAATATCCTGTTTGGATTTTACTCACACAGTCAGGATTTAACAAGCCAGCTGCATATAGCAGCTCTCTAGCCCCTTTGTACTTTAACTCTGGTTGCTGATTCCCTCAGGTCACAGGGCCCTCAGAGATGCTATTATATAATGAAATAAACTTACTGTTTTCTTTAACACTTTGAGAGCGTAAGGCTTCTGGGTCCCCTTCTGTTTGCATCTGTATACAATGGATGTAGCACCCCTTAGGGGGAAAAAGACAAAAAGAAAATATTATGCTTTGGACATGAATCAAAGGGGAATACTTGATAGTAAGTGTCTCTTGCGGTTACTCTCCAAATAGGCGAGTGTTTATAAATTCAATCATCAGACTGGCTGTTAGATGTCAAGTGTACTTTTTTCTCACAACTTAATATAATTTGCTCAGAAAATTACAGGTTCTGTAGCTTGCCCTTTTCCCCTTGCTCTATCCCTGTTTAGTAACAATGCCATACCTAGGGTTGCTGCATTCAGTAGGCTCTCGAGCAAAACCATCCAAATTCAGAATCCCAGTTTCCCAAAAGTGTGGGTCTGGAGCGAAATAAGCCATATAGCATCAGGGAGAGGACTAAGTTCAGCACTTTGTAGGGGCCAGAACAGTCTGCACTTGGGTCTGGGAACCTCCTCCCCCCACCCCTTTCTTGTTTTAGCCTGTAGAGGAGAATGGAACAAAGGGACTAAATATCTTCCTAGGCACGTAAGTAAGGTTACTACAAAGAGAGCAGGAGAAAGCAGAATAGTGTGGTCCAAATGCTCCCACTTGACATATGAAGCAATAGAAAAAGAGAAAGACAGAGAGACAGACAGAAAACTGTGAACTAACCAGGGTTAAGATTCAACTTGAGAAAGAGAACTGAAAATATCTTAAAATAAGATTAGTTTGAGCTAAACCAGTCAGACTTTGTAGATCAGACCAAAAGACTTTTTAGGACATACTCAGTCCTATGCTTCTGAAATTCTAAGTGAAAACAAAGTATTATAAAGTCAAATATATTTCTAGTTTTCTAAGCACACTAAATTTTTAACAAAGGCAAGAGCAATCGGGTCTGGTGTGTTACACTGCTAATCGCTAAAACAAATTTTATGACATTCAAAAATGTTTGGTAAGAGTTGACGTATACGCAAAGAAATAAAGGACTCTGGAAAAGGAATAGGTGAAAGTAAATATAACATGCATTTTTTTCTTATTTTAATGGCTTCAAAAAAATAATTATTTGTGGTTTATATCTGCATGCCCCCTCCCAAGCCTGTGCACTCAGAGGGCAGGGCTTGTGCAAGCTGACTGGATGATTGGGGCACTAGAGCTGACTTGGTGTTGGGAGGTTGGAACTTTACTCTGCTTCTTGAAAGCCCAGTGAGACCCTGTCTCTAAAATAAAAGACGGAGTGAACCGAGAACGCAACCTAGTGGTAGAGTGCAAGCTTGGGTTCAAACCTCAGTACTGCAAAAAAGAGATAAAAAGCTAATCATACTATATCATAAAAGTCACGTAAATTGCCTAAAAATAATATCCTTCATAAAAAAATGCTCTGCAAACCTTAAAAGAAAGCAGAAATAACTGTACTGATGTCAGACAAAATAGAAAACCAATAGAGGAACATTACTAATTTTTTTATTGGATCAATCTCTAAAAATAACACAAAGAATGTTTAAGTGTGTGTACCTAACAGGAATTCAAAATAAATAAAGCAATGCTTAAGATAGGAAAGGAAAAAATTAAACTGTCATTATTTGCTGATGATGTGATACACTACATTGAAGACCCCAAAAACTCCACCGAAAGACTTCTAGACTTAATTGACACTTTTAGCAGAGTAGCCGGATACAAGGTCAACACTCAAAAATCAATAGCCTTCTCGTATACAAATAACAGACTCACTGAGAGAGAAATTAGGGAAACAATTCCTTTCACAACAGCATCCAAAAAAATGAAGTATCTAGGAATCAACCTAACGAAAGAAGACCTCTACACTGAAAACTACAGCACTCTGCAAAAAGAGATCAAAGAGGATATAAGAAAATGGAAAGATATCCCCTGCTCCTGGGTAGGAAGAATCAACACAGTGAAAATGGCCATACTACCAAAACTTCTATACAGATTCAATGCAATGCCAATTGAAATTCCAACACTTTATTTCACAGAACTAGAAAAAAGAACCCAAAAATGCATTTGGAACCAGAAGAGACCTAGAATAGCAAAAGTCATCCTAGGCAACAGAGACATGACAGCGGGTGTAACAATTCCCAATTTGAAACTATACTACAAAGCCACTGTGATAAAAAACAGCTTGGTACGGGCAAAAAAACAGACCTGAGGATCAGTGGAACAGACTGGAAGATACAGAAACAACTCCAGATGTACTCAGCTACCTCATCTTTGACAAAGGAGCCAACCATTCTCACTGGAGGCAAGATAGTCTCTTTAATAAATGGTGTTGGAAAAACTGGATTTCAACCTGCCAAAGATTAAAACTAGACCTTTATCTTTCACCATGCACTAAACTAAAATCCAAGTGGATTAAAGATCTAAATATGAAAAAAGAGACACTAAATTTGCTGGAAGATAAGTTAGGCAGATCTTTTGAAGATATTGGCATAGGAAAAGACTTTATGAACAAATCCTCAGTGGCGCAGGAACAAGCGGAAAGAATCAACAACTGGGGTCTCATCTTATTAAAAAGCTTCTGCACTGCAAAAGAAACCATCAGCAGAACTAAGAAACAATCTACAATGTGGGAAAAAATTTTTACCAGCTACTTCTCAGACAAAGGAGTCTTATCTAGATTATATAAAAAACTCAAAACAATAAGCCCCCCCAAATATAAAGACCCTATTCAAAAATAGGCATTTGAAATGAACAGACATTTCTCAGACAAAGCAGTAAAAGCAGCAAGTAAATATATGAAAAAATGTTCCACATCACTGGTCATTCGAGAGATACAGATGAAAACAACACTGAGATTCCACCTCACCCCACAAAGAATGGCTGCTATCAAGAAATCACTCAATAACAAATGTTGGCGGGGTTGTGGGGAGAAACAAATCCTCCACTGTTGGTGGGAGTGCGGACTGGTGCATGGAAATCAATATGGAGATACCTCAAAGAGCTGGGACTAGAGGTTCCCAACCAGCCATCCCTCCACTGGGTATCTTTCCAAAGAATTACAAGAATCATATCACAGAGATATATGCGCACCTATGTTTATAGTGGCACAGTTTGTAATAGCTAAAACTTGGAAACAGCTCATTTGCCCATCAGTTGGAGTCTGGATAAAGAAGATGTGGTTTTTCTATAAAATGGAATACTATTCAGCCATAAAGAATAAGAAATTAGAGTCATTCATAGGAAAATGGATTCATGTTGAGGATATACTCCTAAGTGAATTAAATAAGTCACACATGTGTAAATACAGAATCGTTTCTCTGGTGTGAAAAACTACAATAGTACATAAGATCCTAATGATATAATTGACAATGTGAAGTGGGAAGAAAAGGGCTAGAGGTGTAGGGAAAGTGGGAAGGGTAGGGGAAAGGTAATAAGGGAAACAAATATATGAGAAAATGAAAAAATGGAAATAAAGTGTTTATAAATGGGGAGGGGAGGAGAGGGTGAAGGGAGGGCAGGGACAAGGGGAAAAAATGAGAACCAAGACCTGTCATGTAAAGGTACAAGATCTCAATGATGAATGTAACTGTACTGTATACCTAAAATGTACCAATAAATGCAATGAAAGAAAAAGAAAATAAATAAATAAATAAAGCAATGCTGATAGAACTGAGATGGGAAATAGAAAAATCCAAAAGTATACTTACTTGAAAGCACTCTTTCAGAAATTGACAGAAAGAAGCAAAAAATCTTCACCAAGGGCATAGAAGGCATGAATGGTATTAGCAAGTAAATTAAATAATACTGAGAGAAAAATCTACATAAAAATAGCAGAATACACAATCTCCTTAAAGTTCCTGTACTCACATATAGTACTTTACACATATACTTATTATAAAACTGCAATAATCAAGACAGTGGTATTGGAGAAATAACAGACATAGAAACAAAAAGAAAGCAAAAATGATCCAGTAATAGACTTAACGCATATCTGATGGACTGGTTCTAGACAAAGGTAAAAAGGCAATTCAATGGAGAAGAAAGTAGTCTTTTTAATACAAATAGTGCTGAAATAACTAGATACCATATGTAAAAAACAAAGGAATGTGAGACAATATTTGTAAAACATATAGCTGATATGGGAGTTAATATCCAAATATATAATGAATTCAAACAATTTAATGGCAAGTAAACCATTCAATTAAAATGTGGTCAAAGGAATAGATGTTTCTCAAAAGAAGACATAAAAATGCCCAACATGTGTGCAATGGTGGTCTACATCACTAATCACCAGGGATATGCAAATCAGAACCACAATAAGATATCACTTTCCAGCTATTAAAATGACTTATCACTAAAAAGACGAAAGATACAAAGTGCTGTTGAGGTTGTGGAAAAAAAGGAAAACTTCATACTGTGAGAAGGAATTTAGTACAGTCATTGTGGAAAACAGTTCCCTAAAAAATTAAAAGTAGGAAATCTATGATCCAGTGATCCTATTTCAGTCATATATCCAAAAGAAAATGAAAGCATGTCATACTCATTGCAGCAAAATAATCAAACTGGAAATCAGTTTAAGAGTCCATTGATAGATGAATACATAAAGAAAATGTGAAATATGCACATGCTGGAATACTACTGAGCCCTTAAAAACAAGAATATCCTGTTATTTTTAACAACATGGATGAACTTGGAAGACATTACATTCAATGAAATAAGTCAGGCAGAAAAAAACAAATAAGGTCTAATCTCTCTTATTCAGTACATAGAAATCTAGAAAATCTGTAACAGAATAGAATGGTAGTTAACACAGTTTGGGGGTAGAGGAATTGAGAAGTCACCCACAAGATAAAGTAACAATGTACTGTATGCTTAACAATTGCTAATGGAGATTTTAAGCGTTCACTCCAAAGAAAAACTAAGTATGTGATACAGTACACATATCAATTAGCTTGATTTAATCATACCACAAGGTATACACATTTCAAAACCTGTTATATACATAAGGGTACGTAATTTTTGTTTCAACTATAAATCAAAGGTTAGAAAATATATTTTCACCAAAGGTGAATAGAAATAAGAATGGAGAGATTTTCAACACCATTAATCGTTATGAAAACAAACGATGTGATGAGACAACAACTACGCACACACTGGGAGGCCCTTTTAAAAAACGCTGCCAACGATGGAGAGCAACCAACACTGACACTGACCTGGTCCGAGTGCAAAGTGGTACAGCCGCTTGGGAAGGGTTTGGTAGTTTCCGACAGAGTTAAACCCATCATACAACCCACCCGTCTCACTCACAGGTATTGGTGTACTCGAGTGACATAAAAACAGCGTTCGCTCACAAATACAAATCTTCATAGCAACTTTGTGAGCACTCACCAAAAGCATCTTCAATACACCCAAATGCTTAATAATCTGTAATACATCCATACAGT